TTGGAAAAGGTTGTGTTTGTGGGGGGGGTTTTATGATAATTAACACAAGAAAATGTCTAATGTTCTTTAATACTTACATTATGCCTGTGGTCAATTTAGAGGTCTCAAGCCCAAATGACCACCTAAAGCTTTTACATAATTAAATTATTAAAATTATTGTTGTCATGGGCCAGATGTGGGGGGTTTACAAGCCAGGAGTGGCCAGAGTTTAAGACCACTAATTTATAGGGCCGGATAATGCTTAAAAAACATAAAGCACTTGTTGGGATTTTGTTATCAAAGCAAATAAAATTATGTGAAATCTATGTATTTTTAGTAATTACAATTTTGTTTTAGTTATTGTCTGTGTAATTTTGAATCGCTGCCTCCTGTCTCCCTGTCCCTCGGAATCTGAGAACAACCCATGTTCAGAATTTTCTTATAAAAAGTGGAGTAAAAACTTTAACTTACTAAAACATTCTAAACAGGGCATCTTTGGGGTTTTTTTTCTTTTCCATCTGAATCTTAGGAACAGTGTCATCCAGTGTTGCTGTCGTCCAATCAGGAGAGATGCAGACAAACTGCTGCTAGCCCATAATCCTGCTGTAGTGCAGGCCTTTGATTTATTATATTCTATTGTTTGTTATTCTGGTACAGCTTTTAAAACCAGGTCAGATCCTTTCATGTGGTTTCTGTCACAGGCTGAAATAAAAATTGTGAATATGGAAGATTTGGGACAGTGCAAAAATATACATAAAAAAGTAATCACAACAGGGCTGCATAAATGTCAGCCCCCACTCAAAAATAGAATCACATTTATACTACAAGAAGACAAGAATCGTTTGCACTGCTGAGGGGGCCTGAGGTAAAGCTGAGGTGAGTACTCTTGCCTTACAGCTGAAAGGTCATTGGTTCGAGTCCCAGTGGTGACTAACGTAGGCCTGAGTTTGTACTTTAATTAAATTTTCTTCAACTACCAATTAAATGAACATTGTCTAACAGTGATGATAAATCTTTACCTCGAACACATAGTCATCCACCAGGGGGGTGTCACGGGTTGCCGCAGTGGTAGTAGTGATGAGTTTTCACAGCCGATGAAGGTGGGGGTTTGATGACTGGGTGGTTTCAAACCCACAGCATTGGGTGCTGTAATTTCAATTTCAAAAATCATCACCAAAACCCCACACCAGGTGGTGCACAATATGAATTAAATTAGGTTTACACAAAGTAACAGCAACGAAAATGTCAAACAAAAAAACATAAGAGCCTTGTCAACTTTCAGCCGTGGATGGAAGTTGTTTTAATTTGAGTTTGTCAATAATCTATAAAATATTATGTATAAATATTATTTTCCTGCCCTTTGTCCTCACTGTGGACCAAGACACTGTACATCACTGCATTACTTGTATCAGTTTGTAAAAATTGGTCATGAAATGACCCTGAATCAAATTTAAAAATGCCGGATATTGTTCAGATTCAAAACTAATTTCATGGGTTCCATTTTTATAAATAGCGGTGAGTCGTCAGACGTGGACCGTTGAGTCTGACTTTCACACCTGAGCTGCAGCACTACATTCACAGACGTGTGTGACACGTGCAGGCTGACGACAGCCATTAAAGACCCCAGATCCCACCAGTTTAGAAACAGAAAGAGCCTCCCCTGCTGCTGGACTCTGTCGGCGTCACAGAATGAATCACACACACACACCCTGTTATAGTGTGTGTGTGTGTGTATGTGTGTGTGTGAAGATTAAAGAGCTGCAGCAGTTACTGACACAGATATCTCCTGCAGGTTTAGAGTAATTTAGTATAATTAGGGCCGGAGTATCTCCTCACAGACCTCTTATCTTATCTCTCTCTATCACACATGAACATTTTAATTAGCAAAATCTTCCTCATTAACAAAACCGCGAAATATAAGTTAACTTCAAACTGTCGACTCGGGCCCGGGGCATTTACGAAGAGATGGGGTGAATGAAATGAATACAAACGACGTCCTCCTTTAATTGGTAGGTGTGTTGACGAAGCTGTGTGGAGAGAGACTGTGTTGACAAACAGGAGGAATGGGATCACAGCCAATCAGGGAGCGAGCAGGAAATTACAGCGTGAACCTCACAGCACAGACTGATGGACAAAATAAAGTTTTTGGCTTAATATAAATATATATGAATACATATACACACACACACACATATATATATATACACACATCTGCATGTGTATATAATGTACATATGTATTTACAAATATTCAAATACATAAATACACATGTACATATATAGGCGTGTATGTTATTATGTGTAAATAAACATATAAGTGTACATGTTGATTTAAATACATATGCAGATATACTTACATACATATATACACATATGTACAGTATACATTCATGCATACATGTACACAATACATAATGATCATCAAAATAATGTCTTCGAGATTTTTTTTATCACTCATGTCTGTTTGAATAAACCTATAGACATAGACACACACTAATAAATCTGTGTGTGTGTGTGTATGAGAAAGAGAGAGAGAGAGAGAGAGCTTACTGTAAGTGTGACCCAGTGCTCTGCTGTAGCGTGTCGGGCGTTCCAGGCTGAGGGGTGTGAACAGGGCCGTAACCATGGTGCAGAGAGCGCAAACAGGAAGCTTGGGCACAGAAGGAGAAACAGGATCCTGTTGGAGGAGTAAAAAAAAAAGAGAAGAATAAAAAAAGAATAAGAGCTGAAACAAACGGGTGGGGGTGACTGTGTCGGGTGAGTAAAAGATCTCTTCAGCTGCTGGCTGTTTGCTGTGAAAAGGAAGATTTTGTTTTTCTTAATACCATCAGTGTAAAACTGTCAGCTGGGAGATGGATGCTGCTTCATTCTCTCTGTCTGTGTCTCCAGAGTTATCGTTCCTCACATCACCTGCATCATGGCTCAGAAGAACACGACAGGAGTCAACACAAAACCAAGGCTTGTTGTCAAGATTGTCGGCAGCAAACACATCAAGCAGTTCATCGAGGAACAGCAAGGGTGAGGGGGAGGGTGTGGGGGAGGTGGATGAGAGAAGAATGGAAGAGCAGCTGATCAGAGATGAAAACCTCATTGAAATGTTTGCTGAATAGAGTGTTGTTTATGACATGAAGGCAGAGGCCTTTGTCATAACTGTTGACAAATCTACAATAAAACTATAGTGGAAAAAATATAAAATAGAATAATTTTGATCTTTTCATTAATAAAAAACAGAAATTATTTGGTCCTGTGAACATTAGCAAGATAAATATTCACCAGTGTGAAGTCAACCCAATAGATGGCAGTAATGTGATTTTTTTTTAAATATTGTTTTGTTTTATGTAAATGTGTAGCTTGAGAAAAGTGCACTGAAATATATTTATATTATTAAGGCTAATTGTTCAAAACTTTCTTTGTGATTTCAAGTGTGTTGCTGTGCTCTTATGTGTGTTTCCTGAACAGTGATTTACATCAGAAAAAAGAGGAAACTACAGCAGCAGCAGAAACAGTTGTAAAACCTCCAGATGAAACAGAAGTGACAGAATCAGCGTCTCAGAAACGTCTCCAGTCCAGAGTGGACTCAGCTGTGTGGACGGGCATTAACCAGGTGAAACATGTCAGATTAAAGTGCTGTGCACAAGTCTTACCCTGTTTAGCCCTATTGTTTTACCCACGCCTCTCTCTCTGGCTGCAGGTTCCAGACAGGTTCTGTGTGTCAGCTCCCTCTAGTGACCGCTCCAGGTCCTACATCCACCCGAAAACTTCACACGTCATTGACCGCAGATCAGCTTCAGGACTGGAGACAAGAGTAAAACTGACAGAGATCAAGAACAAACACCGCTGTTTTACATGATGAAAAAAACTTACTTTTTTTTCTCCAGAGCTCTCCCTCAGAGGACACAGGCAGCTCGGAGCTCTCCTCTGTCCTCAGACAGGAGCTCTGTGATTGGCAGCTCTCCTCTCTGAGGGCAGCGGAGGGAGCAGTGTCAGGCTTGGACCCTTCCTCCAGTGGGACAGTCAGTCGGCCGCAGATCACACAACTGTTTCTAAAACAGAAAGTTCCACTGAAGCTACCTACGTTCTCTCTCCTCCTCAACATGTTTTCTGATGAGGAGGACGCCGCCCTGGTGAGCAGACACTGATGTTTCCACTACATTAAAAATAACTCGGCATAAAACGCCTTAGCTAATATTGCGGAACAACTATAATATATAGAAGACAATAACACACAAAAGCGTCTGTTCTTCTTTGTGTTTTACATGTGTGGCTTCAGATTTATTACAGAAAACTGCTGGAGTTCATTGAAGCCTCTACATTTCCTGGGGAACGCCACAGCGACAGGAAGACAAACTTACAGTCTGCAGGTGCAACATGAAGAAATTAGAGCCTGAGACCTCAACTTAGGCTCCTGCAACCAGGCCCCCAGTAACTGTCACAACGCTGTGCTTTTTTTTTTTTTTGTCTTTTTCCCTCTAAACAGGACTGCTAATCCACAGAACAGATGCCTCTCAACCTGTGTAGTTTTAAATAGTCCATCCTGTAAAATAAGTGCGGCTACAGCATCAAGGGTTAGTCCAAGTGTAGAGATAAGACAAAACACTATGTAATTTAAAAGTTTTTACAAAAAAGTTTAAACTACAGATATTGGATTTAAAAAACCTCAAATAAATGTGTCAAAAAAGATGATGTAATGTTTGTCATTATTAGATTATAAGCTGTATTTTAGAGTGATTTTTTCTTTAATGATATTGTTAATGGTACTAAAATCATGCTTTTAAAAGTACACAGACATGAATGGAGGTTCAGGGAAATTTTTCAGCAAACATTATTTTCAACAAACGTCAATTTAAAAAATCCACGACACAAAACTGTTGGCTTTGCTTTTATTTTTTTTTTTTAAGTTTAAGTTTTTTAAGTTTTTTTTCCAACTCTGAACGTTTTTCCCTTTTTTCTTTCTAGCCCTGCCTTTGGCACTACTTTGTTTTAGGATGAAATGTTAGACTGTTTTAAAAACAAATGTCTATTCAAAGCCTTTATCTTGTAGCAAGCAAAGTATGAATACAGCTAATAAAAATAAAAGTTTACATTTTTTTAACCTCCTTACTTTACACATAAAATAAAAACACTTTTTTTAAACCCCCCTCAAAAACAGGGGCATTAAAATATTTGACATTTGTATCACAAATCAATGTAATGAGACCAAAAAAATAAAACATAAAAACTGTACAAAAATGATAAAATTCATTTTCTTTTTAAAAATTCCTGCGATCAAATGATGCAAAGAACACATTGATTCCACGTTGTTATGTTACTGACCGTTAATCTAATTACAGGAGATACTGAATTATTTCTTCTGCTGGATGAAGCTCAGATTGACTTGATGGGGGACTAGAGGGAAATTGGGATTGGGATTGACAACAGAACCTGCAAAGATGAAGGATAAAGAAGTCAAATTAGTGCACGTAGCCTAGAGGAGCACAATGGATTGAATTTTCTTCACAGAAACTGTACACGAGTTGTGAGACGTCTGACCATGGGCCATGTTGAAGGGTTTTCCGGGCTGGTAACCTCCATTCCCCTGCTGGATGAAGTTCTGGGGCAGGCGGTAGGGCCAGGATGGAGACAGGGTGTAGTGTGGGGCTTTATTGTGCTCCCACACCCGAGAGCCTTGACTCACACCCACAAACTGGGCTGGGTGACCGGAATCTGTAGGACATGGAAAAACAAACACACTCAGTAACTCACAATAATGAGCTATTTCTTGAATGCTGGGAGTGTCCCTAGTAGTAACCACCTAACTACTGTAGGCACAGAACTGTTTAATCAGTCACCTGGCCACACAATTTTATACTGACTTATTTTACACCAAAGTTTATTTATTTTTTATTTTTAAGTCACATTTCAACTGGTCTCTTTCAAGTGTCTTCCTTAAAAGTCATTTTAAGTACTGTTGTCCTCACAGCTATTTTAACTGACAAATTTTACTGTTATATGTGGACCACAATTTATTCTATTTATTTAATTCTGTAAATTTTTTCTGATGTGGGATTTTTTAACTCCAGCCTAGCTGAGTCTTGTTCTTTCTAATCTCAAAATCAGACTAGAATGGATCAACTCTGTCAGGTAAATTTGTTGGTTTTGTGTTATAATGAACAACAATTTTATTTTGTCCTATAATTGAAGTAAGAATAAATCTTTGTGTTCTGGTGCTCTTTCAAAGAACAAACTAACAGAGTCCTGGAGACTCGGTGCCACCAAAGTTCACCCAGTGAATACCTGACTTCACCGCAGTGCCATTGCCCATGAGTGACCCAGGTTGTGCCATGTGGTTGTGCCAGTGTCCGTCCGGTCCCGGTCCACCCATGCCCAGCTGTCTCCCCGCCGGCTGAGCAAAGATGATACTGGGGTCATTCAGGTTCATGGGGTTGGGACTGACCCCGGAGCCTGAGGGACCTCCGTTACCCGTCACAGAGCGCAGGGCGAATTTCAGACCAGGCGGGGAGGGGGCAGTGGGAGAGGACGTGGTCAGGACGGGTCCATGGATGGGCCAGGAGGTGGAGGGGACGTGGACCTGTGACTGATGGGCTTGGTGCTGGTGGGTGGGCAGGAGCCCCAGTGCAGTGAGAGTTGCAGGGTGGTACTGGCCTGGGAGGGAGGAGGGTAAGCCAAAGATGGACAGAGGGACTTGAGGAGGGGTCGGCTGTTTGATTGGACCAGTCTTACTGTGGGAGCTGGGCTGAGGGGAGCTTGAGGACTGGGAGGAGTTCTGAGAGACCGAGTTGGCCTGCGGGGAGTAGGGCGGAGTCTGACGACTGTCCGACTGCCAGGAGAAGAAAAATTTTAAAAAAAGTTCAGACTTTTCCCAACTCGTAGTGTTTAAGTGGAGTGTGTAAAAAGTGAGACTGAAAAAATAAATTTCTCATTAAACTGTAGATCTTTTCTGTAAATGGTGATTCTTATCTGGAAAAATTAGGATTTATAAAATAAATATAAAATAAGTTTTTGACCAATAGACAGAAGGCAGTCATGCTGTACATAGTACTGAACAGTATCTTTATTGTCTTTGCATTTTAAAAATTATGGTTGTTGATTAAGTGATTTTTAACTTCAACTTGGGAAAATCCATGGTTATAATTATGTCATGTGTGACAATGTAATCTGTGAGATTTAGCACTGGTGCCGTGTGTTTACATTGTACTCACACACTCAGACGACTGCCTGCTTCTTCCGGGACAGTCTGAAGCTGCCTGTGGAATTGGGATGGACTGTGAGCTCACCAGGGGTCGGACCATGTGAGGAGCTGAACGACAAACACATTTCCATTACACTCAAATAGTTCACACAACTGCTGAATATTTAGAAGTTTTATTTGTCACAAAAACAGTCTGATTCCTGAATCCATTAAAAACAAAATTATAGGTTTCCAACGTTCTAAACTTCACTTTGTTTTAACCATTCTGTGCAGGTTTTGTGTGTGACTGTGTGTACCTGGTCCACCTGCGGCCCTCTGTTTGAGGTGTCTATACTCAGGACAGTCCCTCCGTACGTGACCCATGTCTCCACACTGGAAACAGCGCCTGTCCTTTAGCTCTCGCTCGTCCTCTTTCACCTCCTCGTCTTTGTCATTTTCCTTCTTCTTCATTCTGCAAACACATCAAAAGATTCATTCTAACATTAAATATCTTGTGGTCTTCCCCTTTTCTAAAAACAAAAAAATCTACAGTCATTGTAATGTTGACAATTTTATGTTAGAAAAAAGAAAAATCGGCAGCATTTTATTTTATTTTCGCTTCCAATAACCTGCGTCTCTTGGGACAGTCCTTCATGTAGTGTCCGATCTTCCCACAGATCCTGCAGCACCTGTCGTTGGGGGCCAACTCTCCATCAGTCAAGACTTTAGAGTCAAAGAAATAATCCTGCAGCAGAAGACAAGTGAAACAGACAGTAAAAAGAACAGACCACTGGACACAAAAACATCATTTCTTTTTAATCTAAGTGTTAGAGTCACGAATAACGAACCACTTCAGTGCCAGGGACTGGGTAGAAAGGAGTTCCAAACAACTTTCTGCCATTTATAAAAGCCTTCATGATGAAATTTGTCACTAGAGGTGGAAAAACAGGCAATGTTAGAGAAAGGAACGAGCAAACGGATAATGTAGCGCAGAAACAATAACCATCAAGTGAGTAATTCTTACTTTTGCGAGAAACTCCAGCACCAAGATTGTGATTTAAATCAAAAGGATCTGGAAAAAAAATGGGAGTGAAAAAAGTGGCATCAGGCAGAAGAAGCTGAGCAAAATCTACCAACACACAAGTGTCTGCACCTTCAATGGCAATGCATTTGCTGGTCCACTGCTTCTCAAAGGTAGTGAGACGTTTTCTTTGGCGGATGCTGATGACGTGCTCTTTAAAGTCGAACTCTTCGGTATAAAAGCGCAGGAGGCCCAGCCACAGCTCCCCGACCGACTCCCTGTTGGGTTGCAGCTCAGAGAGACGCCGGCGCTGCATGGTCACAAGACAACAACAAAATAGATAATTAGGATATTTTAACATCAGTCAATCTTTGAATGTATGCAAATCTAAAAATCAGATTAGATCCAGAACTTTTGACGCTCACCAGATTCTCCAGGTCATTGAAGAAGAAGGCATTCCAGCCATCGACCATCCGCTGAGGAGCAGTTTTTCCATCGAAAATCTAAAGAGTACACATTTGTTTGTTTTAATTTTATTCTTTAAAGCTAAAACCTGTGGCTCATGTTTTCGTTTGTAGTATTTTGGTTGTTGTCTAAATGTTGTTACCTCCTGCAGGACAGGAATGACTGGTGGCTGCCTCTGCTGTAGAAAGTAAAGCACCATAAGGATGTAGGCATAAGACGACAGACTCCCTCTGGAGGCATCTCCGATGTCACAGCGCTGGGAGAACAGAGGCCGTTAAAACAAGGCGACCAAATTTGCAGCAAACATTAAAAACTACAGTGTGGGTTTTGAATGAAGTACCAGACACTGAACACACCTTTGCAAAGACCTTCATTGTGTATCCAAGGAACTGCACACGTGGATCTAGAGCTGCATATGTGGCCAACATTCTGGTGTTGTGCTGGGCCTACAACAGTGAAGGGGCAACTTTTACAAAATGGAGGCACGTGTGATATAATGATGAGAAGGTCATTAACAACGTATCAAGTAATTATTAAGCATCTAAAACTATACAACGGGGGTGTCAAACTCAATCACTAAAAGAGCTGAATCAGAGGATCAACAACTGATGATGCTTTAACCAGAAATGAAGAACTTGACTGCAACAGACTGCAACTTTATCATTGAGAAAAATAAATAAATGTCCAATTTTTGGAAACACTGATAGACATTTCATACATTTTTTTATTTATAGCCTGAATAAAAACTCAAGCCTTCATAAATATGTCTCAGTTTAAACACATGGTAAAATAACAATTATATACTCACCAGTGTGTTATAAAGGCTAATGTCTCCTTCCAAACCGCTCTGTCTGTGTTCAAACTTCACTATAGGCACTTTAGCTGTTGTAATGGGCAAGATGTTCCTCAAACCTGTCATGTTGGGGGAAATAATAGAAACTGCAAACTGTCAGAGCCAGTATAACTTCACCACATTTTGATTTAGAGGTCATAGTGGTTTAAAAAAAACACAGCTGACCTGTATGCTTCTTCAGCACTTTTGCAAGTCCTTCGATGATCTCTTTGCAGTTCAACTTCTATTCAGACGGAGAGAAATTTGCCACAGTGGCAGAACACGAGGGTCAAATCACTTCTCTCCACCAGGGAACTTGAGCTGATGTGAAATTCTAATTTGTGTGTGTGTGTGTATGTGTTTGGTGTTGTCTACTACCTCTGCAGTTTCATGACCCTCCAGAGTCATGCAGATGTCAAGATCACTGTCGCGGAAACCAAAGCCATTTTTGGAGGAGCCGAAGAGGCAGAGCTGAGCTTTATCTGTTGCCGTGGAAACAAAAAAAGATTATATTCTCATTAGAATTTGAGAATATATATTTTTTTCATTTTTACACAAAATAGAAATGAATTATAGGGTTTATTGTCAGTGTAACACGGGGATACAACAAAATTGAACTCCTGCTTTTAACCCATCACCAAGGTGAACAGTGGGCAGCTTTAAGTGCCTGGGGAGCAGTGTGTGGGGACAGTGCCATGCTCAGAACACCTCAGCGGTTACTTGGCAGCTGGTGGACTCGATCCTAAAGCCTTCGGGACTGAAGTCTGCTTCCTTAACTACTAAGCCACCACTGCCCCTGTCACAGTATAGTGTTCAGTGCTCACCGTTATACTCCTTCCTGATAAACCTTTCCAGACCTGCCAGGATCTGCTCCCTCTTCTGCTGCTCAACAGGCGTCAGTGACAACTCATCTGCAAACAGACAACAATCAGTCATTAACACACAGCCCAGAGTAAAAACGTTGTTTAATGTTAACTATATCTTTAGAGCTTACAGTTTTATAACTACTATGTACTGGATTTGAAGCTATTTTCGGTAAAGGGTTCTAGTCCAGGATCAGGGCAAACAGAAATAGACAACCATTCACACTCACTTTCACATAGGAACAATTCACCAAATCCATGAATGTTTATGAACTGTCAGAGGAACTCTGAGTACCAGCAATATTCCTGCCGTGAGGACAGAGCACACAACGACTATGCCACAGCGCTGTACCAAATCTTATCATATTAGTTTTCTTAATTTACTACTACAATTTACTGGTGTATTAATGACTGAGAATTTCATCTTCTTTAATACAGCAGACACCCTGGTCTTTCATCTCTTTCTTCCTGCTGTAGCTCTATATTGTGTAACTGCTTTGACAAATGTAGTTTTTTGTCTTAAACATATCATTAGAAATTTGGTCAAAAGCGCACTGTCAAACCACCTACAGTAGCACAATCTGCAGAGTCCATCCAGAATTTCTCTGAAGCGGTCATTCATGGGCGGCAGAGGCTTCAGCTCAATCTTCTTGAAGTCTTCGGGACACTCGTCCTTCAGGTGACCGTCTCGTTTGCAGATGCTGCAGACGACAGTCGGGGGCTGGAGGAGGAAAACAAGTCCATTTGTTAAGTGAAGCACTCTGGGATGCCATCGCTAAATGTCAGAAAGAAATAGCCAAAATAGAACAAAAGCCAGTAACGCTCAACACTTAGAGAGATAACAGAGAGAGACACAATAAGTTTTATTCTGCACCGGTTGACTTGTCAAACAACTACGGTGCAATAAATCAATCAAATTATAACTATTATAAGAAATGTCAGAATTTTTTCTTGTCCACCACATTTACCTGCTAAAACTATTCTAAATTTATAAAAATAAATTGGTCGTTTCCAGAGTTTTTCAGCAGCACAGATATATCTTTGTACCCTGCAACACCTCTGTGCCCACTGGGGTGACCACTCCCCATGTTTTGGTAACCACTTTCTTATACTGTTAGCATCAGCTGCTATGGTACTGACAGTCAGTTCTACTGCACTGTCAATTTTCTATAATTGTCATGTTAAAAAAAAGAGCAACAAAGGTCAGTAAAAATGTTTTTTTCCAATAAATGTTACCTTCCCACCAGTGAAAATCATCTTATCAAACACATAGTGCAGCTCCTCAGGTGAAATGATCCTGTCTTTCTCTGAGACATAGTTTTCTTCCTCATCTTCTTCATCTTCCTCATTGTCACTGTCCAGTAGGCCATTAGGGGAGAGGGAAGGTTTGTTCCCGTCACTGATTTCCATGTCCTGGAGGCTTCTTCCTAAAGTCCGCTCATCCTTCTTTCTGGACGGATCTGGTCCATCTTCGTCCTCGCTGTCGAACTCCTCATCCTCCTTCAAACACTGCTGGCCTCTCTGAACTTTTTCACTGCTCCCTTCGTCGTCTTCTGTGTCCACAAACGATGCCTCCTTTTTCTCTGCCCATTCTGCGATTGCACTCTGCCTGCTGGCCTTCCTGCCTCTCAGGTGTCCTCCGGAGCCCCTTCTTTGGGGGCACGCAAAATATTTGTATGCTGTGCGGAAGCGCTCCTGAATGTACTCAAACACCATTTGACTGTTCAAGCTTCGTGCGACATTCCTTTTCAAGGCAAAAGGATCTTAAAAAAACAACAACAACAACAAACAAAGGAAGAAAAGTGAATTCTAGACTCCTCCTCAGATCTACAAGATAAGATTTCTAATGAGGGCTCTCACCTTCAATAGCGAGCCTGCGACGAGGCCAGTTCTTCACTTCTCTGGAGAGAAGCGTCTTCAGGCGAATGCTGATGATATATTCTTCAAGAGCAAACTCCAGTGTGTAGAAGCGAAGGAGCTCCAACCACAACTGGCCCAGAGAAATATCTTTGCGCTGGTCCAGAGTTAAACGAGTCTTTTGAAGAATGGAAAAAAAGTTAAAAAAGCCAGTTATCTCACCTCAGTTGTTTACCCTTTAACATCATAAAGTCCTTGTCCTGAAAAGGCTGTGGATCACAGAGCGACTTACAAGGCCTTCTGAATAGCGAGGCTTTTCAGGTTTATTCTGCTCATGCTTGGATTTGTTTTCTCCGCGACTGTCGCCTCTGTTCTCCCCTCTGCCCTCTGTGGAACTTGGAGGTCTGTGCTGCCAGCTCACAAAAATGTCCAAGGAAATTCCAGTGAGATGATACTCATCCACGTGCTTCACATCAAAGCCTTCGATCTGGCATAGAAGAATAAATGCGTGAGTGAAACAACAAGGGGAAGCGATTGTCTGAACAGTAAAGCAAAAAAAACATCAATGTTGATTATAGACTTCTTTTAAAGTTGGCACATGTAGCTCATAAAAGAAAACAATTACCAGCAAATTACTTAGCAGCAATTAATTGGGTGCAGTTAGATTATTCAAATTAATTTAAAAAAACACACGTTTCCAATTAGAGGGAGATAATGTCATTATGCTACAGTAGTGTTAGGTTACTCTTGAAATACATCATTCTCATCATCTATAACAACCCTTAACATACTTACTCTAAATATTTTGTGGCTTTGTTTTTTTTTTTGTTATTCCAAGCACTTTAACACATAAGTTAAAAGAAAGAATCTACCGTCTCTCTCTCTCTCTCTCTCTCTCTCTCTCTCTCTCTCTCTCTCTCTCTATATATATATATATATATATATATATACACAGTATATATATAGCGCATAGAATGTAGATTCTTTCTTTCTTTCTCTTTCGGCTTTGTAAATTTTTTTAGAATGTAGATTATGGTCCTAAAATGTACATTACATTAACATATCAGATCATATAAAATAATTGTTGGTGGTGTGCCTCTTCTACTGAATGCAAAATTAAATATTTTGTCAAACACAGCTGAGGAAGATTATCTCTCCGTCAAGTTTAACCTGTTCCTCCTGCCAACACTTTCCCCTGTCAATCACTGCTCTAAAGACTCCTACGCCTCAGCTTATGTTGATTACATTACATTCACATTCACATTTAGCTTAAGCTTTAACGTTTCTCATTAAGTCTGTGTCTAGCTCATAGCAGCTTCAACCTAGGGGACAGAAAAAATGTCCATCTTCAGTAGAAGGACTAAAAGTAAGTTCAACTTGAGGGCTGTCCTAAAATGAATGAACCAAAGGTTCTTTGAATGTATTACGTTAAATAGAACAGTAAACGCAACTCGGATCGACCTGAGGCGACTAGTGTCCCAAAGAACATGGCAGTACACTTACCCAACGTCCCAGGTAGACTGGGAGGATGGGGCCTTTTCTCTGCTGCAGGAAGAAGATGACCATGAGGGCTAGAGAGTAGGAGGGGATGCCCCCTTCAGCTTGGCAGTCAATGTGACAGAGCTGTAGAGAAAAATATTTAAAATATAGATCGATTTAAATAGATGAAATAAATGTATTTACATATATAAAACATACTTATTAAGGTACATTTAGAACTGATTAGAAAATGTATAAATATTGTGGGATTAACTGTGAGTTGACAATAACGTCTTTACCAGCACTGCTAAATACTGTTCTTAAAAATTTTAAGAACTCAAAAAAAAAGTATATTTTAAGCCAAGAATAAGACTGATGAAACCTCACCTGCGCCCAGTAGCGGAAAGCCAGCACCAGAGGAACTAATCTGGGCTCCAGTCTTGCCAGTGCTGCCAGGTGATTGGTTGTGAGACAGGCGACGTCATTACCTGCACTCACTTTACACAAGAGGCCACTGTAACAACACATATACAAACATATATTAAAAACAGTGTCTAGAAATCAAGGCAAGAGGAGATTTGACCTTCAGCATTTTTTATTCCCGATTATTTGGAAACGACTGCCCTCCAGTGGCAGGAGCAAGAAACTGTTTAGAAATAGCCTGTGTCTTTGTTTCAAAAATGTAGGTTCTAATAAAAGAAGCATGATGATGACGACTCATATAAATATAAATTAAATCTCTTTTCAAAGTTTTTTCCAAACTTTTATTCTATGGTGTTATCAATGAAATGTATTACAGGGATTGCTAAAGTAAGTGTACATTTATTAGATAATAGGATAAAAACAGAATACGTGGTTAAACAATTATTTGCAAATTTGTTAGCCGTTTAACACTTACCTATTCACATCCCGACAGAACACAGCAGGAACTTTGGCATGAAAATCTGACTCGACCTCAAGAAATTCAGCTGAAAAAAATGACAGAACAAAACACATAATATATAAAATAAATATTCAATTATATATATATAATATTCAAATGACACATAATATATAAAATAAATATTCAAACTACTTTTAGGATTTCCTTATAAATTAATGCTTCTTCAAAGTGCATAAAAGAGAAATTGCAGTTATGAAGAAAGCTCTTTTAACTACAACTTGGAAAGGCCCAAATATTAATGCACACACAAGTCTCAGGTTCCAGCTCACAGAGAGACTCAAATGTTCACTGTCCTTGCAGCAATGTTTGCATTGACTTACAGCTGTTTTTAAGGATTTCCAGCACCTGAATCAGGACCTCAGGTTGCGTCATCTGCAGAGATAAAAGTAACAAGTTCATCGTCTCTAACACGTTCCTGATGTGTGATTAGGAAAATAAAAATTTGAATTTGTAACACAGCAACTTACCGAGGAAGGATGTGTGACATCAATGTTGACATCACTTGTTTTGAAGGCAAAACGTGTGAGACAAGAGCCATAGAGCCTGAGAGAACAAGCTGGGACAAAATGAAGAGTTGTGAATTGTTTGAATGTACTTTTGTTGAAAAAAAAAAGTTTAAATATTCAGTTTAATTTCCTTTTGTGATAAAACAAATGAAATGTATTTTAACTAACAAAAGTAATATTCAAGTTTCCAAGACTGCGACAAACAGGTGTCCAACCTGAGAGCTTCCTCTTTATGATCTCCTCCATCTTGATGACCACTGCCTGTCGAACCCTGAAGTCTTCTTCTGAGATGCCATGCTGCTGACCCGTTGCCATCACCGCTGCGTCCACAGCCTTGAGCTGGGCAGCAGAAGGAGGTGGCAACGCACGCAGCTCGTTCTCCTCCTGTTTCTCCTGATTTACAGACAGTATTGTGTGAATCAAAACA